GCGTCAACAAAACAATATTCAATTGTTGCGTTTGATATAAAAACGGTATTTTTATATGGTACATTGGATGAAGAAATATATATATTGTTGCGTCCGCGGATCGGAATCGAGATAAATCGAATCACGCAAGACACAACCGGCACTCACACTCCGCGTCGTAAATAATAACTCTTAGTTATGAAAGAACAAGAACTTTAATGAAACAGAACTATATAACTATTCACAGAAATAGAGAACAGAGAATATCGTTAATAATCTTAAACACGTCCGCGCGGATTGACATCCGTCACGAAACTAAGATGGCAACCGAAAACAACATGTCCGCCGTTGTTTAACAGCGAACTCCCCGGCAACGTGCTTAGAGACGATCTCTCGAAAACGGGCATAATCCAGGGATGCAACATTGCCCTCCCTCTTCAAAATTGTCGTCTCGACAATCAGAAATAGAGAGAAATATTCCACCAGTGCATAACGACTCCAAGGTTCCGACGAATCTTCCTGCTCTATCTTGGACTCCTGTCCAAGTTACCGAGCGATACGCTATCTTGGACCCAATCGCCTATCAGCACATTTCAATGTCGATTCCAGGGTTCCGACGAATCTTCCTGCTCTACCTTGGACTCTTGTCCAAGTTACCGAGCGATACGCCATCTTGGACCCAATCGATTATCAATGTTTCTCCCAATTTTGCGTACTGGTATCTTTCGTACTGTGTCTCTCGAACTCCGGAAATCTCTCCTCTTAACGTTGTTGTCGAAAATAGGTTCCGACGAATCTTCCTGCTCTATCTTGGACTCCTGTCCAAGTTACCGAGCGATACGCTATCTTGGACCCAATCGCCTATCAGCACATTTCAATGTCGATTCCAGGGTTCCGACGAATCTTCCTGCTCTACCATGGACTCCTGTCCAAGTTACCGAACGATACGCCATCTTAGACCCAATCGACCGTCAATGCATTCTTCGATTTTGCGCTCTGGTATCCCTCGTACTCTGCCAATTTTCCGGAAATCTCTTTTCCTCAACGCTGTTGCATCTCGGGAATCTTCGGACAAGAGGGGGGTATCTACCGTGGACCCAACATCCTCAAATGAGGATTCCCCAAGTCCCTGTCTCGGCATTTGCCCTTCGTCCGCACGGGAAAACCACGGATTAAAAACCGTGGGCAAGACAGTCTTCTTTCCTCACAGTTCGACAATCGCTCCAATAGTCCCAATCCTTCCATCTCGCAACTTTCCGCGAAGTCTATCCTCTATCCTGAACAGCTCCCGCTGAACACAACGAACACAAAACCAAATAATACACTTATCAACAAAACAAATATCATAATAATCACACACATAATAATTAATGTTTTAATATTTCCCTCTTAAAAATATTCTCCCTTAGCTCTAACTGCCATAGCCCTTTCCATAGCCAATTTTAAAGATGTTACACTTTCTAATTGAAGCGTGCGCTTAATAAATCCATCTGATAGCGCCGCGATAAATTGCGCGCAAGCAATTTTATCCCTTACTTCCTTTGAACATTCGGGATAAGCAAATCGCGACAATCGTTCTAAATCTGCGCCCAGTGTCGCTAAATTCTCTGAATCTTTTTGCTTTCTATTGGAAAACTGGGTGTAATATGTTTGGGCTAAATATCCTTTCCCAAAACGCAATTCTAACCTCGATTTTAACTCTTCGAACTTTTAATCTTCAATTTCAAAAATTCCGTCCAATACGGAACGCGCCTTTCCCCTTAAGCATGATGCCAAAACAACCGTTTTCACCGAATTAGACCATCCATTCGCTCGAGCTATCAGATGGAATTGAGTAAAGAATTCTCGCAAAGGGACACTTCCATCAAAGTTATCGGGTTTCAATTTATAACCACATTCATTTAAATTCAAATTTCCGTGTTCAGTATGTAAATAATTATTTCTATTGTTAAAATTTCCGCGCTCAGTATGCCCCTCACTATTATCTCTATTATAAGAATGACTTAGCTGGCTATGGCTATCGTTGTTATCCAGCTGTCGTATCCTCTCCTCCATTCTGCGAAGCATTTCCTCACGCTGTTGCAGCTGCGCCTCATAATCAGCTTGCTGCTGTAACCGCTCCTCTCGGAGCTGCCGAATCTCCCGCAACACATATTGGAGTGTGATCGCCTCTAATGTCGGTCCAGATGCTGTCGCTTCTGGAGAAGTACGAAGCAGAGTCGCAGCTCGTTTCCGCGTCACAACCCAAGATGTAAGATCTTGTTGCTGTTCCGACGCCATAGCTCGTTTTGCGCTCTTTCAAAATTGTTACGTTGTCCAGCTCGATCCCGGACGAGCCCCCAAAATGTTGCGTCCGCGGATCGGAATCGAGATAAATCGAATCACGAAAGACACAACCGGCACTCACACTCCGCGTCGTAAATAATAACTCTCGTTATGAAAGAACAAGAACTTTAATGAAACAGAACTATATAACTATTCACAGAAATAGAGAACAGAGAATATCGTTAATAATCTTAAACACGTCCGCGCGGATTGACATCCGTCACGAAACTCAAGATGGCCGATCTAAAACAACATGTCCGCCGTTGTTTAACAGCAAACTCCCCGGCAACGTGCTTAGAGACGATCTCTCGAAGACGGGCATAATCCAGGGATGCAACTATATGTATTGCAAAAAATTTGAGTGAATATTATATACGAAGTGTGGGAGATATAAAGAACAAGATGGCGGCCTTTATTCAAGAAGAAGGCTTCATATTTTACCTCCTTTTTCATTAAAATTTTTATTATAAACTTTGCGTTTCCACAATCTATGATATTATTTTAAAAGTTAGTGAAACACTATTTTAATTATTCAGTCAGTTTATTTTATCTTGTTTTTATTCCAGATATAATGGCAATGAGTTGGAGGGTGGTGCACTTTATTAAAGAAAATACAGTAGAAGCCGTGCCAGCGTCCTGGGTCAAAGATATCAATGGATGTTTTTGGCCACCATACAGTGGATTAGAATTAAAAAATTTGATAAAAAATTGTACCCCACCTAGCTATGATTGGGATCTTTACCATTCAAGGCCAATTGGTGAATTATATGGTAGATATTGTTTGAAAAAATGTATAATTTTTCTATATAATTATAACAATAACTATATAACAAAAATTTTAGGAGATCTGAGTGTTGCAAAAAGTAAAGCTGCTCAAACTGAAGAAACTTCTGATTTAGCATCAGAAAATGAAAGAAGGAAAATTAAAAAAAAAAGATTCACATCCGATTCAGATTCAGATTCAAATCCAATTACTTTCAACATTTCCCATAAAAAAAAAAGCGTTATAAATGAAGAAAGCGAAGAAAGTGATAAAGAAAATGAAATAGTTTACATTCCAATTTTAAGGAAGGCTACCAAAGGTAACTGTGACATATTTAGAAGTATCTCATTTATGAATTAACCGAAATCTTTCTTTTATTTTAAGAAAATTCTGTGGCATCAGTTTCAAAAAATATGGCCAGTATTCAAACTGATTCAGGTTAGGTAGTAGCAATATATAAATACACTAATAAATACATTTTTTTGTATAATCCTCAGGTATTTTTTTCTAGTGCCGCGTACATCAAAAGAAGAAATTCCAAATACCGTTAAACCTCAAGATGCT